CCTGGACTTTTGCTGAGTGAACAAGGAGCAGAGACTTCCGTGCAAGATCCAGGTATGAGGGGTTTATGGGTAATCCAAGCATGAGCAGAGAGACGTCTCTCTGCTCTGGCCTCATTTTAACTGGAAGGAAGCCTCGGCTCCTTCATGGACGAGTTTGATCCTTACCAAAGGGCCTACACACAAAGCACTTCACACTCAAATGCAAAGGTCCCCATTCCTTATAAGCCCATATCCTTTACTGCGATTCACTTCACAACTGCCTGTTCTCTGCAGATGGTATTCATCTTTTTATCTGCCACATCATATACTATGTCATCAAGATGAGATCACTGGCTAGTTCGCGTTATATTTGAAAGGCTGCCTGTTCTTTGAGCTTCATTATAGAAAATGCTTTTGAACATGAGACAGCGAGAAGGGCCCACAGCAAAAGCTCTTCTGCAGGAGCCATGCTAAAACCATTATGTCCTCCAGTCGTTATAGTAATTATGCTTTCAAGGCAACATTAGCCCTTTGCTGCTAAAGAGCATGGAGGTTCTTTGGAACATCTGAGTAAGGGTTAAATTTGGCAATAGAAAAAGGTAGGCAAGCTAAAAGAGCTCTGGTCCCCCCCAAAATCTGTCATACTGTGGTCCCCATTCTGTGCTTCACTGCCTTTTTCATTGAGCAGCTTCACAGAGGGATTTTTTCTAGCATTCCTCAACACTTAATACCCATCTCTATGTAAGGTAAAGTCTGTATTGAGATCCACTTTTACTTTGCTCTCACTTTAAACGTATCAAGAAAATATGAATGTTTTGTGTAATCCTTTTTTTTCACATCAAAGCAGAAAGTAACTTTCCCATCTACATACATGAGTTTTAATGTCAGAATTTCCAGAATTTCATCATTGTTTTAATTATTTCTTGATGTTTGCCACTTTGCAGAGGACAATGATGCAAAATGAACTGTTTTGTAAGACCTAAATGATTACAGGTGGGTATTTTTTAGATTATTTAAAAATGTGACATTTTGCATTTGTCTTACTCGCCTGCTAATATCTGTTCTGAAAGAAAACATACTGAAAGTGAATAAGTCTTTGTAAGTAAGAAAGTTTTTTTTCCAGTATTTCTTTAGAGCCACATCATCCATTTTAAAGTGGTGGAAAGAAACCCAGTGAAATCCAGCGTGACAATGAAATGGCACGCTTTTCAGTTAATCATGAAATATAATCATGTTGAGCTCACAGATGTCAGGAAAAATTCAGGTTCTTTGAGTTGAAAAGGATTGACGCAAATAGTGTCACATTTCATGTACTAAGTATTTACTAACAGTAAAGTAACCAGCACCAGCTGATGATTTACACCAGAGGAGGTAGACATAACTGCAACTAAAAAGCCACTGCCAATCAAATATTCTGAACGTTTTCTGAGGTTTTACATAATAAATAGTATGCAATAAGTTCTTCCATCTAAAAGAAGAAAAAACCTTTCCAGACAGGCATAAGCTGTTTTTTTTTTCAGAGACATAGACTTTGAAACTTGAATGAGAAAGATAAAAATAAACGAGACTATCAGATGTTTACCCATGGGACACCATCAGAAAAGATAATCACGTCCATATGCGACTTGTGCTCTTTTGTTTTTTTACAGTGTTACTTACACAGTACAACTGAAACAAGAAGCTCAAAATCGTTTACATATTTATAACTGTAATTAATGACTACAATTCTAATAAAGCAGTAATATTTTCTTCTTTTATTATGTTGCAAGAGGAGGAAATATCCCATCTATTCAGTGTAACAAAAGGAAAAAAATCCACAGCGCATGAAATTAGTCATTTAGCATGGTCTTTGATCAAAGTGAAGAAGTGACCAATATGAATAATAACACGCTGGCACTCCAGCAACTTTCAAAGGTTGGCTGTTTTCTCTATGAAGAAGCACTGTTGAGCATCGACATTATGAACACAAGCAGCTTACCGCAAACACTGAAGGAAAATATAAATCAGATTTTAGAGAGAATTTATGGTAATTGTGAACCTGGTTGTTACTCTGATGTTTTTGTCCCTTGTTGACAATCAGTCATAACAACCTTCATTGCACAGAGTTGGCAAATTTGAGTGGAAAGGATGATGTTAAATGGGCAAAAGATTTTTGAAAAAATGTACTAATAATTGTCAGATCACAAGTATCACACAGCAAATATTTCTCAGGAGCTCAACAGATGCACATCTGGGTCGTCCTGCAGACAGATGTACGTTTTTGCACTGGTATTAGGTTGTGGTTTACTTTATCATGCACCTGAGGAGATCTATTATGTTTTTTGTCATTTCCTGATTATCACATGTCTACTGTTGCAAACGTGGGTGCTCAACATGGCCAAAGTTTCAAACAGTGAGGCTAGCGTATGTCCAAGTAGTCCCCGTGAGCTCTCAACCATTTCATATACGTTTTTGTTACTCCTGGATCTGTATGACCCAAAAGGGAGCTGATACCATTGATATAGTCGTATTAGCTCTGCAGATGTGGCTGTGAACAGACACCCCACCTTTTGTTAGTGAGCGGTAGCCATCAGAGAAAAGTTCTCTTCAGGAGAGAGGAGTTAAAACAACTTGCTTCAGACTGGATGACCTGAGGAGCTGCACCAAAGCCCAGTATAATGTAAATAAAGAAAACAGGATTATGGCATGCGTTAGTCATCATAGTTTTTCTTTGTGTTTTGTGGGGTTTTTTGTTCTGTTTTAATAGACAGTGATCCCAGATGTTGCTAATTTGTCTATGTACTTGACTAAAGCTTGCCTGATCCCAGGCAGGGGAAATACATACAGTTGGGTCAATGTTGGCATGAATAATCATAACAGACAAAAATATGGGAATATCGTCTGGGTTGACACTCTACGTTTTATAAAACTTAGATAAATAAAAGGACACTAAAAGAGCTACCATATTCAGTATCATACAAGCATGACAGCACTGACATCCCTGTAAGAGATGAAGTCAGTGAAGGAAAAAAGGCAGGCTGGCACTGAAGATTGCATGTTAACAGAGCAGTCTCCTGTATATTCACTTTGTGTTGACGGGAAAATGATAGATTTCATTTGGTTTATGCAGAGCCTTTAATTTAAGCTTTGAGTAATGACTCGCCTTTTGCCCTCTCACTCATATCATCTGAGTTCTGTTTTGTATACACTGGCCGCTGATCCAAGGTGCTCGGTTTGGGGCACAGACTTCATCTCATAATCCGAGTCCACTATGACACTCGTGCTGGGCGTGTCACCAGTGTGCTGCTCGTACACACACGAATTCACCTCTGTGGATGCATTTGTAATTTCTCAGGTTTGGGTTTCAGCTCAATAACCAGTCAAGAGGCAGGCCTTGGTGCGGGCAAACAGCATTAGTCCAGTTTCAGCTCTGTTTCATCAGACAGCAGGAGTGTTGTCCAGCCTCAGGCAGTGTAACAGTTATGCAATGAGTTCCCATGACAGGTGTATATATTAAAAAAATAACATTAGCATTGCTGACATGCAGTCGTTCTGAATTTAAAGTTTGAAGTAAGAAAAGTTTAGACGACCAATCTGTTTTGATGATTTTAGTTTTTCTGACTGAATATTAATGTTAGAGCTGTATGAAGAGGTTTTATTTGCGATATGAAAACATTCAAGTAATACTAAACCATGATTACAGACATGTAATATATTTTTTCACATTTGTTTTACCTCACCCTGCTGTTTTTATGTGTATTATATATTCTTGGGAATCGAAAAGTAGAGCAGTTAACTCAAATAGAACAACAGTATGAAATTTCTAAGGTAAAACAAGGTCAACAAAGACAGAAATGGAAAAGAAAATAGCTGTCATACACCTAAGATTAAATCTTCGAGATTTGACCTGAGTTTGGTACATTCATCACATCCACATCAACATGATGAATGACTTTTGAGACCCAAACATGTAGGAGATATCTTGACAAAACAGAGCACAATTTTTTCATGAAGGCTGTCAGTGGAAATGAAAGTGTCTGTAAAGCCAATATTTCAAATAAGCTGTTATGGTATTGCAATTGAGTTACATCATATATGCCTATCAAGTTTAAAATTACACATAATGGCCAACATTAAATCAAATATTGTTAAAATCTTTTTTTTTCTTTCATGTTAATTCTTTTCCCCTTTAATGTACCGCCTCTGGGACAGGGGCCTGTTTCACAGCTTTGATAAGGTATGAGACTGAGGTTACAGGGTAGTGCTGGTGATTTCGGATATGTCCACAAAACATCAGCATACATCCGTGAAAACCCTCAGGGTAAGACTGCCGCCTTCATATAAATCATTATTGGGAGTTTTTTGCACTGTGTCCCAAATCCAGTTCAAAATACATGTGTATGCAGACTGCAGACTTTAATGATTACATGATTTAGTATCTTTTTCTAACCTGAAAAAAACATGTGACTGAGGCAACAATGTGATCACAAGTACTTTATTCAGGCACTTTTTACTGGAAACATTTCTCTGGACAAGCCTAGAATGATATGTATGAACATCAAGAGGAATTTCTTCTCAGTGATACCACGGTATGCACAGTTCGGACGAACACAAAGTCGAGGAGCACTTAACACTGATGAATACAAAACAATACAAACAACAAGGTACTGTAATTTTTATTTAACAGGTAGTGTTCATCTATATTTGGCCAATAGTTTTCAACTAAATAAAATTGACTAATCCTCGCAGTTTTTGATATCTGCCTAATAGATAAATAAAGATACGTTACAATGTTAGATAATCTTACAGTCTAAAAATGGAGATTAGGCAATGTCATTATCTGGTTACTAATGTAAACAGATACATTTTATTTTCTTGCTCAAAGCACAATTATATTCATGGACACTCCATGTCATAGGTAGCTGTGTAAAAGCATTGAGACATTCTGTGGTGGTGTTTAAACATTCAGAAATGTGTGTCT